GACAAATGACAAAATAGTGAAAATGTCTGGAACTCATTAATTACAGACAAAGGAATAAGCTTCCTAAGGTAAAAAGAACTAGAAATCAACAAAGGGCAAAGATGAACAGATATTGCTTACTAAAGGAAATACAAATTGCTCTTAAACACAAAATGTTACACCTCATTCATATTCAGAGAAATTCAAATGAAACCGCCAACAAGATAGTGTATTTCACTTATCAGATCAGCAAAAATTAAGGTGGCTACTACACTGTGTGTAAAGCCATGGTGAAACCGATCATCAGAGTACAAATAGGAACAACCTCCTTAGTAAGGTACTTTGAAAATATCTGCCAAAATAACAAAAGCAGTTGCCCTGCCATCCAGTAATTCCACTGCTTAAAATTTAATCATATATATTTACCTGTATGAAAGGTCATTTGTATACAACACTTAGTGCAGGTCTGTCCTCCACAGTGGACTGGTTTATATAAATTATAGTGTATCCATACAACGGAATACTGTGCAGCTTTAAACAGAAGGAAGCAGTGCTCCCAAAACTGATACAGAAGAATCTCCTACACTGTTAAAAGACAATAAGGTCCAGGACAGCAGGTATCCTTTTACATAAGAAAGAGGAAAGAAATAAGAATATTTATTTGTATCTTCATAAAGAAACTCTGAAAGAAGACTTAGAAACTAACCTGTGAGCCCATGTTTGAGGACCCTGCCCTTCTGAATTAATGCTCAGTTCCTCCCTGCTCTGTATGATAAGCAGGAGCAACCATGGCTTGTAAATTTAGCACAGACTAGAAAGATGAGCTTCAATCACTTTCTTAATATGTTTCCACATTTGATTTCTTTTTACATTTCATATTCAACTCCCTTCTGATTAACATAATGGGGCTTTATAAAGGAACAAGTAGATAGTCTGGGCAAGCAGGGAGTATACTTAAAAACATTTACATTATACTCCAAGTAGGTTAAAGAAAAGTTTCCTCACGCTGTGAGAATCCCCCTACAGTAAACCCAGAGAAGAGAGAAAGCACTATGATAGGAAAGGAAGTAAGTAAACATTAGTTACAAAGATCAAAGCATAGAATAAGGAAGGTCTCCAGATGGAAGTGGGTTTTGGAAGTGTTTCCTAATTATACTGGCCTGACTTCTTAATCATTAGGGGCATCTTCTCTAATGCTCCCTTGTCAGAATGGAAGATTACACAAAAACACTTCTGGAAGCTTAAATAATTAGACGTCATTTAGAATGTTTAGTTTTCCATGCCAAATGTTAAGAGAGGTACAAACAGTTTTAAGGTTAACTGAATACATCTCAGGTAGATGACACTTCTACACCTTTTAAGTATCTTTTCTGCTGGAAAAGTATGTGGCAACCTGATTAGCTTGAATTACCTTAGAATCATCTAAGCATCACCCAAATCTGACCATGTTAACTACTTCTCAGACATGGAGACACATGGATGCACTGCTTCAGATCGTGGTGGGATGTACAAGTCAGACATGAATAACTCTATGAAGAGGAGTGAATTGAACCTTAGATCTGTCTAAAGACAAGCACTGTTATGTAATCCAGCCCCCTGGTAAGTCAGTGTCCAGCTAAAGGCGAAGTAAGCTGAACCACTGAGACAGTACCACTGCAAAGGGAGTTCCTGTCAGTGGTATCTGCCATCCCCTTTTCCTGTGCTAGACTTTCCCGGCCTATACTAGACAGAATGGCTCTAAGTGGTTTCTCTAAAGTAGAACAGTTTGAAGGTCATTTGAAGTCCAAAATAGATCAGCCAGCAATTTTTCTTGGCCTAGTATCTAGATCCAAATTTCAGAACCTAAGAAACTCTACTCAAAGTTTAAACATGAGAACCCTTCAAACAATCTGAAAAATACATGGGATGAAGGCATTTTTATCTCCTAAAACCTTTTATGCCTCTCTCATTCCTCAGCACCTTCTGTTTAGTCCCTGGCAACTCTGAATATGAAAATAACTGAGGGCTAATGTTTGAGAGTCCAGAATTATTGGAGAAATAAGACCATAGGGAAAGGTCAGAGGAGCTGGTTCCAGACAAACACGTGCTTCCTTGGTCTTTGCAAGTCTGTCTTTCCTTGCTCTTGTTGAGCCAGTAATAACCCACTTGCAAAGGCCTAATTCTGAATTCAATGTGAACAAGCTAAAGTGCTTTAACCATAGAATAGGAAGAATATAATCAGTAATTCACACAAAAAGTAAATTTAAGAAGCAATCTTATTTGTTTAACCCAAGTTCAGGTTTAAGATGGCAAAATCCTGCAAATAGGACATAGAACTAGTAGAGTACTTAAGTCAAGAATTAACTACAATCACTCTCACTCTATGCTTAGAACTTTGCAAAGAAGAATTAAATTAGGATTTTTAAATGGTTAATAATTTTTAAAAACCAATCTTGGTATACAAGAATGATTACATAAATCAAAATACAGTCATACGCTGCATAATGATGTTTCAGTCAATGACAGACTGAATGTATGATGGTGGTCTCATAAAATTAATAACATATAACCTAGGTGTGTAGTGGGCTATACCATCTAGGTTTGTGTAAGTACACTCTATGACATTTGCACAACAAGGAAATCACCTAATGACACATTTCTCAGAAGGTATCCCTGTCATTAAGTGATACATGACCGTACTAATACCACCTGAAAAAAATCCAGTGATTGACGGGCTGGCCTGGTGGCATAATGGTTAAGTTCACTCATTCTGCTTCAGTGGCGCAGGATTTGTGGGTTCAGATCCTGGGCGCGGACCTACACACTGCTCATCAAGCCACACTGTGGCAGCATCCCACATATAAAAATAGTGGAAGGGCCGGCTCCGTGGCTTAGCGGTTAAGTGCGCACGCTCTGATGCTGGCGGCCCGGGTTCGGATCCCGGGAGCGCCCCGAGGCACCACTTCTCCGTCCAACGTGAGGCCGAGTCCCACATACAGCAACTAGAAGGATGTGAACCTATGACATGCAGCTATCTACTGGGGCTTTGGGGGGAAAAAACTGAATAAATAAAATCTTTAAAAAAAAAAAAAAAAAAAAAATAGTGGAAGATTGGCACGGATGTTAGCTCAGCAATAATCTTCCTCAAGCAAAAAGAGGAAGACTGGCAACAGATGTTAGCTCAGGGCCAATCTTCCTCACCAAAAAACAAAAAAAAATCCAGTGATTGAAATGAAATGCACAACTATCTAAATATTGAGATGATACGCAGGCAGCATCTTTCTTTCTTTTTTCTTTTTTTGTGAGGAAGATCAGTCCTGAGCTAACATCCATGCCAATCCTCCTCTTTTTGCTGGGGAACCCTGGCCCTGAGCTAACATCTATTGCCAATCCTTCTCCTTTTTTTCCCCTTTTTCTCCCCAAAGCCCCAGTAGATAGTTGTATGTCATGGTTGCACATCCTTCTAGTTGCTGTATGTGGGCTGCTGCCTCAGCATGGCTGGACAAGCGGTGTGTCAGTGCGTGCTCAGGATCCGAACCCGGGCCGCCAGTAGCGGAGCACGTGCACTTAACCGCCAAGCCACAGGGCTGGCCCCTGCAGGCAGCATCTTGATGCAGTTACTTGCCACATAACATCTCAGTACCACCCAGTGCCAAACACACTATTAGGTACTAAATGACTCAACAAATTCCAAAACCACTCCCTGAAGCCCATGTACCATCAGAGCTATCTTTTACATACTTATTTTCAGCAGTTACATTTAAAATGACTATGACAACAAAAGCTTCCACTGTTCTACTGTTAAAATAAACAAAGGTGAAAGTATATTTAAAGTGTCTGTATCAGGTTTGAAAAAGAAGTACTGCACAACTACATAAGCGTTGCCCACAAACCTACGGCAGTACCACTATTATTAAATCTTCAAAAATATTAGTTTCAAGGTTGCTTGGGAATCTAAGCAGTCTAATAACTTTTTCATTAGAATCTTCTTAGAAACACTAATTAAAACACACAATACCACGTCACAGATTGGTCAAGTGAAATACAGAGTAACAAGACCAAGAAGTCTCCAGAAATCCAGTTATGAGCCTGATGCCCACCAAGCTGTCATCCTGCACAAGGTTCTCGCTGAAAACTGGATGAATTCTACTGCAAGAACATACTACTAGTCAGTAGTGTAGGAGACTCCTTTATAAATAACATGCACCAATTTATATCAAATTAGGATCTCACTCTAATTTATATAAAAATTAAGACCTTCACTACTCTACTCGACAAAGAGTAAGGGATGATTAATGCAGGATTTCTCAGGTTACAATGGGAATTGTCTTTCCATATTTTTAGAAGATAAATCTCAAAAAAAACCCAATTTATTCTTAATCTAGAAACTAGTAATCTTTTCCTTGAGGCAGAAATCAAATACTACCTATCTTATACTCAAAGCTGATACATGTTACAAATGAGCAGCAAGAGGCTTCATCAGTTTTTTCCTAAGAGGAAGAATGATGTAGCCAAAAGGACCTACATAAGAATTGATGCCCAAACAAGCAGTATTTTTAAAGAGCACCTAGTCTCAAGCCAATTTTTGTGATGTCAATTGCGTTATACAAAAAGATAGCTAAAAAGCTTTTCTTTCAGAAGTTCAGAAGTATAATTTACTCTACTACTACCATGTGCTAACCCCAAATCTCTTTTCTTTAAGGTAATGTGTTTATGATTCGAGCCAAACATCTGATTTGATTATAGTTTAGTAAGAGATTCCTGTAGAATTATCACAAGCTATGAATTAATACCTAACTGATAGGCATAACAGCAAGAACACCTTACAGTATTGTGACATTTTACTACTTTTGTAAACTGCTTTTACATAAATAGCTGCCTATGAAATTTTTAGAAGCCCCAGCTATGATGAAATGCAGCCAGAGTACAGCCGCAGAAGGTGTCCGGGGAATGAATCATGCACGTTGTGTTTCTTCCTTAAAAAGAGGAAGAAAGCAACCTGTCTTCATTTTTTGAAGGTACATAAAACATTAGTTTCTCACCTTCTGGTATTTCTGCCACCATTTATATGAATACTGGTCTTCCCGTGAGACAGGTTTCGAAGGAAATATCTGGCACTTATTGAGGGATTCTAACTGAACTGCAGACATGGTTGAAGGCAACACACATTCAGGAAGAATTTGCACTTTCGCTTGCTGGATTCTAAAATAAAGAGAACCAAGCATGATGTTCATTTTCAAGATAAACTAACTTAAACTATTAAGTTTCTAAACATACAGGTAATTTTAAATTCTAAGATTTTCAAAGTTTTCTTTTTAAACATATTCACCAAATGCTGATGTTAAGATACATGAAATTTTCAAAAATTACTATATTTCATAAATCATACCAAAGTTAAAACCAAAGATAACCTAAGGTATGGATTTCCAATCTCACTGTGGAATGGAAAAGGAAGATTTTAACATTTCAGACAAATATACAGAGTCTATAAATAAAGTTAAAAAAAATCAACATACCAACTACTACTACTCTGTATCTTGACACTTCTAAATTAATTTCTTAGACACCCCACCCCTCCCATCTCCCCATCGCCTTATGCTGCCTGACTCTTACACCTATCCCTTCTAATAAATCATCTAACCTGAGGAGTAGGTAGTGAAAGGAAGCGAAAATCAAGAACTCATTTACATGGATGAGTTAAAATAAGACTAGAGAATTACATGTAGCCTTTATTTCTAGGTGCATTCCTTTTCCCATTCTCAAACATTTAACTTGAATATGCAAAGAATGAAAATACGCATTATCTTTTTTTACTTAAACTCTCATGATAGTCATCACTTCCAGAATGCTACTTGACAATATCATAATCGCAAACATCTTTTCATGAACTAATGCCAACAAGAAGGTTGCACCCACAAGCTGTTTTCTTGTGAGTCATTATATCTCCTGGATATAATATATTTTGAAATACAGAATGTATCAGTACATTCAAATGCTGGGACAAATCACTCTGAGATTAACAAAGTCTGATATTTTAAAAGTGGCTGCTTCATTATTAATTATGTTTAGGAATTCTAAAGTGATCTTTCATATTAACCACTGTCCTGACCAACAAAAATTTATGAATGAAATTTTGATATTTCTATTTATTTATTAAATGAAAATAGCTAATTGTGTCTGAAAATATCTAGGTTTAATTTAATGATAATATCAGATTCACTCCACTAACTTCATTTCTTTCCTGCAAGCTCAAATTGATGTCTACATGACTTTGGAAGATGTTAAAAAAAAATTGACTGTATTCAAATTATGTTCAAATGTTCTTATATTATTAGAGCTCCTGAAAAAAAAAACCAAAATCTCAATTTTCTTTACCTGACCACATGAACACAAATACTTGGTAATCATATTTTTCAAGCCAAAGTGTATACCATTCTATATAAATTTTTAGAAATCTGATTCTTCTTTAAGGTCATCAGTAACTAAATTAAAAATTATGTTTCACCCAACTATTATGTAAGATTTTATTATGATAAAAACATTAATGTTACTGAAAAATTGGCTTGCTGTTATCTTAATAATGAGTCTGCGGTACAAGCTGTCTGAATTGCCTTGCAGGATAAAGCGCTGCTCTCCGTCACTTTTGTCAGACAGGCCCAGGACTGATGCACACACACGGCCGGTTCTTCTCCCCACAGCTGAGATTTGTTTTGAACATAAGCTAGTTCTGTGTCTTTCCGATCTGTTTATGGCAGTTGTTTTGTGATGATAGTTACATTAATTTATATAAATACTATAAAAACCAATGAAATCTGAGTACAAAAATAAAATGGCTTCAATGAATTTTAGGTTGAGCCATAAAAAATGTTTTTGAAATTAGGTTCAGACAATTCTAATAGCAGGAAAAAAAAAGCACAAATCTGGAAGGATTCTGCACTCAAACTGCCTTGTGATTATCTTTACAATCTCTCTTTAAAGAAAACTTACAGGTATAAACTGGAGCCAGATAATACACAATGAAAGTGGTTTGTGAGAAAAAGACTGCTGCCATCTCCAATCTGCAGACCCAGTTCAAAGAAAGTTATCTTGTCTCTCCATCAAGTGAAAAATGAACGAATGTACACCTATACCTTTTAAGTTAAAATGAAATATTTAAGGTATATATGTATAACTTTTTATGATTTCCAGCTTTTGGTTTTTTTATAACTTTTTCTTGATACCTTTTACTTTCTATCTTTTTTCTCCTCTTTTCCCTCCAAAGCCCCAGTAGATAGTTGTATGTCATAGTACATGCTTCTAGTTGCTCTATGTGGGACGCTGCCTCAGCATGGCCAGACAAGCGGTGCATTGGTGCGCGCCCAGGATCCGAACCAGCGAACCCCAGGCCACTGAAGCGGAACGCACGAACCCAACTGCTGTGCCCGGAGCCAGCCCCTGATTTCCAGCTTTAATTAACTTTTTTGAGTAAGAATTACTGGTCTCAATTATGATAGGTAAGAGGACTTCTTCTCCGATTCCAAATAGAGTATTAATGTTCTCTTCTTCTCTACATACTAAGAAATACTCAGGAAATTCTAAAGAGTCCCACAGTGCTTCAATGATATACTTCTATTTGTTTTTCATTAATTTTTCAAAAAAAAAATTTCCATGTGTTCAGAAGATGCTAAAGAAATAAAGACTCAACTTAGAAAAGGCTAGAAGGTAGCAGTATACTTTTTACATATGAAGGGTTATTTATATAAAAGACAAATGACTATTATCTGGTACTACTGTACTGGAGAAAAGGAAAGTGGCTTGAGTTTCAAATGTGCTATGGAGAAATTCTGGTCCAGTGGAAAGAGCACTAGTCTGGAAGTCAGGGGACCTAGAACCAACCAGCTCTTGCTTACTAGCTGTATGACTTTAGGCAAATCACTTAACTCTTTAAGAGTACTTGGTTTCCTTATTTGGAAAAAGAGGCGATTGCACTAAATTATCTCCATGGTTTCTTCTGTTTCCCCATTTCTAGTGAAGGTAGTTACAGGACCAGATGGGCAGTGGAGCCAGAGAAATCTCACTCCATGGAGGCCTTTTAAATTAAGACACACTCACCTTTATGGGAGGTCTTAACAGTAGGTCTATGGAATACTAGCGAGAATGTGCCCCTTTCAAGTCTTGTCCAGCCCTATTAGTTTGATGCTAATCTTTATTATAAATATATACTCCTTGTTTTCAGTTAATGGTCTACTGCCATCTTGTGTTCAAAATAGTTTTTCCACAGTCAAAAGTCACTGATAACAAGACAGTCTCAGAAATATACTTTTCCCCAAATCAATTTTCCATTATGGTTTCTGGAATGCAGTAGTCACAAATAATCAAAATTTTATAAGCATGAGGATAGGAAGTACTTTAAAAATGGAACTGTTAGTAAATCCACAGTTACAAAACAGCTTGCTAATCATCTTAATGCAGAGCCCTCAGGAGGACATTCTCTCATTCACGTAACATTTATGGTCCTAAATGTAAAATAGAAAGAAGTCTCATTCATTTTCCTTGAACAACTCACCTATTGAGGGAGACAGATATACAATCCTGTAATGACAGTACAATGCGTTCAATGCTGTGCAAGTCTGCACAGTGAATGTTCTGGGGGAGTACCAGGAGGGAAGAACTAAAACCCTTAAGGGCTCAGGCCTCCCATCTCTCATTATTCTATGCTCTCTCTAGCCCCAAAGAGTTGCCTGATCCATCCATATTTTCATAATTCTGTAATATTTATGAATGCCCACTAAGTGAACAAAACAGACAAAAAGTTCTTGCCCTCATGCAGCTCACGTTCTTTTTTAAATCTTAAAAAAAACCTCTGAATTTCCATGTGTTCAGAAGACATTACCTGTGCAAAATCCAGGTCTGACGAGATTTTCAACTCTGGTTATAGATAAGAGACCAATTCACTAGGACTGGGTAGAACCCAAGAATCTTTACCTTTCTAAGACTTCATAGGTGATTCTTATGTGCCACAGTTGAGACCCATTCCCATAAGAGATAACATGCAATGATCAGGACAAATGCTTTGTTTTGTTTGTTTTTTTAAGAGGATAAAGTAAACCGGATTTCTTTTAAATGAGGTTAATATTCCTTAAAATTATGAAAAAACCCTAACCATGAGAGCCATGCCAAAATGGTAACTGCTAAAATGGTATACTCAGAGAATTTCTAAACTTTATAAGGTACAAAGACAACAAGCATTTATTGATCTCTTTATTATGTATGTAATACACTTATGGGTGACATAAAATTCTCACTGGAGATAGGCACTAAATGTAAATGGTTTCTACAGCTCAGATGGAGCAGCTGGCAGCTGTAACCAACATGGCTTTCAAACACCGCAGGAAGGCTGTAAACACCCCAGCTGTCCCAGTGAGCAGAGAGCTCACAAGCCTCTGGCTTCGTCACCCTTTCTTACTCTGAAGAGAGGTCTTCAATCCCAAAGAAGCCATACCCCCAATGACACTGCCCTTTGGGTTTATATTACTTTTCTCAAACCTGGAGGGACATTAGAATCACCTGGAAATCAGAAAAAAGATGCCGCAGCCTCATCCCAGGCTAATCATTTTCTAGGGATGGGAGATGAGGTTGGAACTCAAGCTTCTACGGTCTTAAAAACTTCCCAGGTGATTCTGATGCACAGCAAAGTTGGAAACCACTAGGCTATACCTTCAAAGGGAAAAAGAACAACTAGTTAAAAGTTACAAAATGTGAAAGGTCAGTAGACTACAAAATATATAAGAAACCCATTTTATTTTAAGATGTTTCCATAGCTTTAAGAGATAAGGTATTTCTTACCCATCTGATTGTGTTCTTAGCTCAAGGACTTTGAACCTTTGTCTTCCGATTGCTTTCACTTTCACTATCTCAATTCCAAAGTCCTGTTCTTCTCGATAGGCATATATCTCTGCTGTTGTTCCGAACTGTGCTTCCCTTTCCTGTATATTACTTCCGAGGTAAATTTTAGAAGGAAACAGTTTTGAACATTTAATTTTTAAATATGCAAAGTTGGCAAAAGCAATACACATGGGAAACAATTTATAGCAATAAGCCCTCATCAAAGCTATTATAATTCTGTTTATGTTAAAATCATATGGGGGAATTTAGATATATAAGGAAGCTTCAGGAAATACAATTAGAACACTTTTAGGAAAAGAATAGATTTCTAGTCACTGAAAATGACATAGGACTGATAGGGGCTTAAACTCTCATTTCCCAAACCAAACATTCTTTTACTTCGGTAGACCATCATTTCTGCTGCTTATCAGCAGCACTATACTGAGGTGGGAACTTCCTGTATTCATTTCCTGCCTCTACTGCAGATTTCCTCCTACCAATAGGATACTTGAAATTCAGCTTCAGTTTACCAGTGGTCTGTAATGGGACAACTTATGAATTTTGAGAGAGAGAAAGAACAAGCCATTCCTTTGTAAAAGTAATCCTTTACATTAAAATGTAAAAGTCCTCTTTGACTTCAAATAAAGTCAGTCCTTGAAAATGATTCTAGAAAAGTTTTTCATTAAATATTAATGATTAAAAAAATTTCAAATACCAGATAGTTAAATTGCGTGTAAAGATAAATGTCTGATTTAGATGGTAATGATAATAACAAAAATACTCCAGCTTGCCCTTTCAATCTTTTCATCAAAATTTTTTACCTCACTACCTTACCCAATATTCTATGCATGCAAAATAATCATCAGTTTTGGCTTTCACACCGACCTCTACTGTGACCATACATGAGAGAGACTATGTTAAGCAAATTCACTTTAATATTTTACCTGTATGCAAGAACTGCAAAGGTTCTATCTTTCTGAATTAAATTCCGCACCATACTGACTTCTTGAGGGCGAGAAAGCTGAAGAGGTAAGGTCTGCCCAGGAATCAGGATCATCATCACCTGTGGCAGAACGGGAATCACTTGACAGCTGTCATCATCGTGCAAAGTCCTGCCATGAAATTCTTCCATATCAGAGCCCAGATACTATTTAAGAACATACATAGATACAGTGTCACTATAGATATACAATAAAAATACAGGCTCAACAGACTAAAGAGAAATTAGAGTAAAAGAAATATAAACAGAGGGTACAAATATTTAAATAATAACCTTGGTGTCTCAACATCCCTCAGGAAAGTTTAATTTCGACTCTTAGAAGTAGAATTTCTAGTATTTTGTGAAGAATCTCTCATGTACAAATTCAAGAGCATTTTTTATTTCAAAACATTTTATTTTGACTAAGATAAGAAATATTTCTATGTCCAAATACCACAAATGATACGTATAAAATGTTAGTATGTTAAATAACCACAGAGTACACAGTAGTACAGAGAATAAGAAGTACTTTAGTAGCTCCCTTACTAGCAAAAACATCAGGAGGGCGACAATTCCTCAAAGAATTACACCAAGACATAATATGAAACTGCTTAAAAACCACAGTAAGTGCGTTTATCTATTGGCAAATAGCCCATGTCCTCACTCACAATTTCTGATGTGAGTTAATACACAGTAATGCTAAGATCAGTCACTTGTTTTCAGGAACTTTTATCTACAGTTAGATGTATATATCTGTTATATTAGATCTGTTACTGAATTACATACTGTATGTGATGTTGGCAGACTGGTGTCAAAATTTATGATGTTTGGTTTTTTAGCTTCTTTGCTATCCTGGTCTTCAACTTCCATTTCAATTTCATCTTCTTCCTCACTCTCTGCTGCAAAAGTAGAATAAGAAAAAAAGATGGATGCATGAAAATGTCAAAGCTATGTCTTTCAAATGTACACTTCCTTCATGAGGATTCTGAGCCCTGGAGAAGAGGGCTTCTTCTTCTAAGAAGAATCACTCACATTTGGTAACCTCTGCAGGACTGCGAAGAGGCAGCCAAAGGGCTGAGGTCTATGCTGGGCTCTGCCACTAACGACTCTGTTTTTAAATCAACCTTTTATTTTAGAATAGTTTAAGATTTACAAAAAAGTTGCAAAGACAGTACAGAGTGTTCCTGTATACCTCATATCCATTTTCCCCTATAGTTAACATCTTATATTAGTATGGTACATTTGTCACAACTAAGGACTCAGTGTTGGCACAATACTATTAACTAAACTCCACATTTTACTTGGATTTCCTCAGTTTGTACCTAATATCCTTTTTCTGTCCCAGTGTCCCATCCAGGATACCACATTACAGTTAGTTGTCACGTCTCCTTAGCTTCCTCTGAGCTGGGATGGTTTCTGATGGCCTTTACAGTTCTGAGGAATACTGGTCAGGCATTTTGTGGAGTGTCTCTCAATTAGGGTTTGTTTGATGTATTTCTCATGATCAGACTGAGGTGGTATGTTTTGGGGAGGAAGACCAGAGCCGTGAAGGGCCGTTTTCACGACGTCCTGTCAAGGGTGCATACTACCAACACGACCTGTCGCTGCTGTTGCTGACCTTGATCACCTGGCTGAGGTCGTGTCCGTCAGGGTTCTCCACTGTAAAGACACGTTCTTCCTCCTTTCCACACAATACTCTCTGGAAGCAAATCACTAGGCACAGCTCACACTTAAGGGGTGAGGAATTTTGCTCCATCTTCTTGAAGGAGCAATATCTACATAAGATATTTGAAATTCTTCTGTGTGACAGATGTGTCTCTTCTCCCTTGCCAGTTCTGACACCTTAGACAACTCATTCCACCTGATTAAGCCTTAGTTTCCTTATCTGAAAAATGACAGGCACGAACAAGGCAATCCCTAAGGTCAAACTCTTAACTTTAAAAAGTTCCTATAGAAGATAGGAAGGAAGCAAGCAAGGAAAGAAAGAGGAAGGAAGATCCATTAATTAAAATTGAAAAAAGATATTATTACCTGACAGATTTTCATAGTAGTGACATCACCTCCCTGGCTGTCACTACATTATTTAAAAATGAAATGTCTGTGATCATTTTCATACGAATTTTGCTTTGGAATTTTAAATTTAAAAATAAAGTTCACATGAAACATAAAACATATTTTAAAAGAAATGTCTTAGAAAGCCTTCTCCACACACAATTTTTAAATTATTGAAAACTAAGCTGATCTTTAAAAATCTGATGTTACTAATAATAGGGATGAAGGTTAGAAAAAGTTACATTACATAGGTGCTATTCTATTAAATGGGAGACTGTCCTTTTTATGCCAGTTATGGGTAAAATTCCTATTGCAAATCAATGGTTGTCAACTAGGGGTGATTTTGCCCCTCAGGGGATTTTTGGAAATGTCTAGAAATATTTTGGGTTGTTATAACTAGGGGAGTCCCACTGGCATCTAGTGGGTGGAGGCCAGGGATGCCACTCAACATCCTACAAGTCACAGGACAGTCTCCCACAACAAAGAATTCTCCAGCCCAAAATGTCAGAAGTGCCGAGGCTGAGAAACCCTAGCTTAGACACACCATAAAGATTTACTGAATCTCATTTTTGAACTCATATTTCATGTATTTTTAAATGCCCCAAATAAACTTCTAAATAGATAAACTGTCACTACAAAATAGTCATTATCCTTTGTATAGTTCATTATTTAAATCAGACTACCTCCAGCTAGGCTCCTGACACGAATATACAAATGTTTTTCAATATGGTAATTGCCTCGGACTTTCTAGTAATTCTTTTTTTTTTTTTTTTATAATTTTATTTATTTTTTCCCCCAAAGCCCCAGTAGATAGTTGTATGTCATAGCTGCACTTCCTTCTAGTTGCTGTATGTGGGACGCGGCCCTAGCATGGCCAGAGAAGCGGTGCGTCAGTGCACGCCCGAGATCCCAGCCCGGGCCGCCAGCAGCGGAAAGGGCGCACTTAACCACTAAGCCACGGGGCCGGCCCTCTAGTAATTCTTAAGAATTCCTAGATATATGGCTTTGTCAGAGAACAACATAATTATTTCAACTAATATTCAAATGGTCAATGGTCTAACAATTCATACAAATTTTTCCTAAGAACGTAGAAGTTTCACCAAGAGATAACAAAGAAAAATCTAAACGGATAAGAAAAATATTCTGAATCTAATTCCTTGTATCTACAACTCTGACAGCATGGCTTTCACTCGGCAGGTGGAGAGACCCACTTTATTGCTCTACTACAGAAAGTTTAAAAGATCAACAATTCACTCAAAGGCTAAAATTCATAATTTTAAAATTTACATTTTAACTGTTCTGCTTCTAGTCTCTAAATGATTTCCTTATAAATAGTGGCCTTTCTCATAAAGCTGGCTGAAAGCCACCTCCCCCTACTTAGCTGTTTATCTATTAATGTTTCCTTTGGCCAAGACAGATTCTTTGCATCTTAAATATTAAACTATTTCCTTAGCACTTAAAGAGAATTACCCTTCAAAACAACTCATACTACACGGATTTATAAACAATCCAATGTTCCTTTACAAACAAAACTCATATATGATTTAGAAAAGCATTATTATTATATCTATAACCTCTCTGATTATTATATCTATAACCTCCTGATTTTTTCCAACAAAACACACACTGACTGTTCAGAACCACCAGGGTGAAGTCTGATGAGTCATCTCATGCAGGAGCACCATGTGAATAACAACAGAACATCAGTAGCCTCCCTATTGTATTCACCATCCTCCCTCAAACAGTGGATTTAGCACATACAGAGTTGGACTGATGTCTCTGAAACGAACAGCTCGGCTCTTTCAGTCCAAGGCTGACACACTTACCCTTATGTCAACTCAGCTAGGTTGGTCAGCAACAACCACTGACTCTGACTCTGGTTTGTTTTATTTTTTATTTTTTTGTGAGGAAGATCAGCCCTGAGCTAATATCCATGCCAATCCTCCTCTTTTTGCTGAGGAAGACCCGCCCTGAGCTAACATCTATTGCCAATCTTCTTCCTTTTTTTTTTCCCTTTTTCTCCCCAAAGCCCCAGCAGATAGTTGTTTGTCATAGTTGCACATCCTTCTAGTTGCTGCATGTGGGATGCGGCCTCAGCATGGCGGGACAAGCGGTGCGTCGGTGTGCGCCAGGGATCGGAACCCAGGCCGCCAGTAGCGGAGCGCGCGCACTTAACCGCTAAACCACGGGCCGGCCCCCTGACTCTGGTTTATTTTTATACAAAAAGGCCCTCTTATCTGGTGAGCACACATTCAGTCTCTTTCTCCTCCAATCCATGCAACTCCTAGTGGACAAATTAATCCTACAAGCATAGCTTTCTTCAGGCAACTGCCTGAAACCCTCAATTATTTCTTAGCAACCCATAGAAAAAAACTCCAACTCCACTGGCACAAGATGCAAGCTGCCCAACAACTCAGACCCAATCTACCCCCAACCTATCTTCAAGCCTTATCTTCCACAACCCTATTCTAAGTATATGCTTTTGGATGTCTCCAGATCCACCTCCCAGTGCTTTTCTCCAATTGCTTTGAAGGACCATAACAGCACTCACTTATCTGGCCCTAAATCAACTACTTTCTGCTAGTTATATTTTCAGGGGCCTCATATAGATTATAAACCTCCTTAAGTACCAGACTGTGTATCATGCCTTTTTTCATCTCCACACCACCTCACACACTTCCCTGGCCTACAGTGAAGGGACTCAACTAATAGTCTCGGTTTGGCTGATACACCTCTGGGAAAGCATCTTATCTATAGCACTCCATGACAAGTCTGTACAATAATTCCACGCGTTTTTTATATCCAGTCTTCTAACATAAGGCCAACGTCTAAATTTTCACAAAACGTAAAGAGAAAACTGAGTTTAACTTCACACTCCTCAGTCTAAGCAAGCATACTGTACCACGTGTTTGAACTACTTGCCTAAAAAAAACAGACCAAATACTGTCTTGGCAGTGAAGTGGTTAAGAGATACCAGCTATACCGACAGACAGACTCAGGTTGGAGTCCCGGCTCTGCAACTGTGTGACCTTGGGCAAGTCATTGACTTAGCCGGCCAATCCATTTCTCACCTACCAAATCGGGATCAGAAGAGTGATGTGCAGAGAATGAAACGGAGAAATGCATGCAAAGCGCTTACTGCAGGGGCCGTGACATGGTCAGTGCTTAATACACGTTAGCTGTCACTCTTTATCAAAAGGAAGAAGTCCAGGAAAGGTAACTGCTGCTAACCTGATCCAATCCCCCACGCCCCCCTCCCCCGCCCCGAGTATCACAGCATTTCCTTGGAGCCAAGTTCTGGACACACGGGGGATGGAGAGGACGGGGCCCTGCCCTTGGGAGCAAACCCCCTCCTCGCCCCCGGCCCGGGGCGACCGAGCCGATGAGAGAGAAGCTCCGGGATTCGGTCGCTGGCCGGGGGCCTGCCGTGCTGCCGCTCCCGGTGCGGCCCCGCCGGCCTTGGCGCCCCCGGCCCGCCCCGCTCCCCGGCCTCGCCGCGCTCTTCGCGGCTCGGGCCTCGCCCCCTCCCGCTGCCGGGGACCGGCCCCATGCGGTTACCAGGCAGGAGCGGCAGGTGGTTGCCCATGTTGTGCGCAGCGTCGTGCGGGTCTTCCTCGTCGGCCATGTCTGTTTACCCGCAGAGGAAGCTGGGACAGGGCGGCGCCCGGGGCGCCGGGGGAGGGTCCGCGCCGCGTCGCCGCCGCCGCGCACCGGGGCCACAGCGCCCTCTGGCGGCCCCCGTGGGGCAGACAGCGCGCCGGCCCAGGCCTGGAAACATTCTTGCCGCAGGAGGGCGGGCCGATGGGCTGCGGGGACCGAATGCTGTCCCTGTCCCCGGTCACTTCATGCCCGCCGCGCATCTTAACAGAGCCCTCACCTTGTTCCAGCCCCTGGCGTGACATTTTACGTGTGGGGAAACTGAGGATCAGATTTTTGTCTCCACGTCGCTCTTAACAAAGGGGGCGGGAAGCAAATAGAAAGCCGTTTATACAGCATTAGCTCCAATTCTTAAAATAACAGGTATATATATGAAGACTGGGAAAATGCATCAGTTATTCCGAGGGTGGTAGGATTCTAGCTGATTTTCTTTTCAACAATTTTCAGTAGTTTCTATATATATTCCAAAATGAACATATATTAATCAGAGGCAAAGACTTGAAATGATGATTACACATAATAGAAAAGGGCCCATGATTGACTGGTAAGTAAGATTGTCAGACTATGAAATAGCCTACTCATTATGACTTCAACTAAGTAAAAATAAGTCATTATGTGGCAAAAAGACTAAGGTAGGCAAAAATGAACATAAGTCTGTTACAGTAATGGGGTCGTGACTGGTAAGATTTTTGTTTTGGATGATGGACAAAAGTTTTCTTAGTGTCTTTTCAATATCATTTTTTTCAGCAAAGGAGGAAAACTGAAAAATCTTTAAATGAAATAAAATATTTAAACATGGTGTGGAGGGGAAGCAGCAGCATTGCTCTGAAGAAAACAATAATGAATCTGAGATTTTAAAAACTTTAGAAAATTTGCCTCACTGAAGAGTTAAAACCCAAAAACCTCCTAGTAAGTGAGGCTCATGAATCCATTCTGTGTCTTTCTGCTTTCTCTCCCTGTATTACTCTGTGGCATTGGTCAAGTCATCTATGGCCTCAGGCCTTAGTTTACCCGTTTGCAAAATGAGAAGGCTAAATAGTGTCCCAGATTTGTTTCTTAATAATGTCCCTGATATTGATGATAGCATCGCCTTTTATGATCAGGTTAATAACAGTCACATATAATACGTTATTGTGATGGGTTAGTGGAGTTAAGATGATCACTCTCGTCAGTTGAAGGATGATTCTACGCCAGAATGACAGAAACGAAAATTCGGGATAGAATGATATAGAATGATGAGGGAATGGCTGGGTGGGTGTTTGTGTGTGTGTGAGAGAGAGAAAGTGAAAGAGAGAGAGGGAGGGCAAAAGCAACAGATATCTACATGTGTTATGCTGTAGCATTATTAATCTTACTATGATTTCTAGAATTTGAATAAACTGTGCTTACCTGCAGCAGAAGTGTCTTTACACAGCAAGCATCTGGCCTCTAAACAAGGAAGCGCTGACCTTCCTGTGGTCCTCCCCAGAGGTAGCGCCAGAGCTGTGGTCTGCACCCTGGGTCAACCAAGAACCCTGTGGATGAGAAAGGACAGCCGTAAGCCTGGCGGGGTCAGCAGATGTGGGTGGAAAAGCATTAGCTCTTTCTTTCTTCTTTTGTGTACTGCTCCAGGGTTACTGATGCCACTATCTGCATATCTTTCACTCCCCACTCTCCTCCTTTTTCTCCCGTCCATTCTCATTCACCATCTGCTCCCTCCTTCGTTTCATGCCTCCAGAGTCTACCCAGTCATCCATAGCTACATCTTTCAATAGGGATAACAGCAAATGATCATTGAACAAAAACTACTAAGTAAGCAGGTTTCTTGGATTAAACCCTGGTTATTAAAACCCAAAAAGGAAGCATGATCATTTGCCATTTATTTTTAATTCGGTAACTGTATCCTGAAACAAGGTATCATACTAAGTTCCTCACATTTCTTCTTGGCTTGCATGAAATGTGTCCATTGATAAGGAGCTCTGCAAACCAGAGGGAAAGGAAATACACAGGTTCATAGATCATTGCCTCATGGCTCAATTAACTTTCATAGTACATAATTAAGGCTAGCACTAGATGCGAGAACATGTGAATGCAAAAGCCTGCTGCTCTTTCAGTTTCTGGCTTCTACACCATATTAGCAGCAATCCTGGGAAGCACATACTGGGAAGAGACATTTCTGGCTCTCTTCGGTTTTTTGTGTTCTCTCTCTCTGTCTATTTTTTAATGTGTTAAAGAATGCTACTTCCTTGCTCTAAGCAGTCACTTATCTCTTGCCTGGATTATTACAATAGCCTCAGTTCTGGTTTCCTGCCTTCCACCCTTGGCCCCTAGAGTTCATTCTCAACAAAGCAGCCAGAATGATCCCTTTAAAGCACAAGTCCGATCATGTGACTCTGCTGCTTAGAACCCTTCCTTCACTCCCTGTCTCACTGTAGTCATCCTCACAGTAGCCCACAAGGCCTTTGTAATGCACAGTGGGCCCCCACATCCCGCTCTGACTTCCCTTCACTACTATTCTCCAGGCTCTAACTCCTCTCCATCAACTCTGGCCTTTGTGTTCCACAACCAAGTGGGGGCCACTCCCACCTCAGGGCCTTTGCACTGCCTTTCCCTTCGCCTGGAATGCTGTTTCCCCACGTAGCAGCATGACTTGCTCCCTTATACCTTCCAGGTCTTTGATCAAATGCCCCTCCCTAGGAAGTCCTTCCCAGACTACCCAACATCAAATTATGACTCCAACCGTGGTCCCATCACCCTCTCTCCTCCTTCTCTGCTTTATTTTCCTGCAAAGCATTTATCAACTTCTAAAATACTATGAGGCTTACTTTTTAAAATTGTCCTCCCCCCTCTAGGAACGTAAGCTCAGTGGGGAGGTCAGAGATCTCTGCCTCTTTTGGTTACTCATGTGTCCCAAGGGCCTAGCACAGGGCCTGGCACTTAGTAAGTGCCCCAAAAATGTTTCCTGATTGAATGAATTGCCCAATTATGGCAGACACTGTTGATTGGCCCAACATCAACTCCTCTTTTCTTCCTTGCTAAGAACCTTCATTTTGTTTGGGGCAATGGTGTGCCAGCCCCCTGGGTCATGTTTGCACTAAGCTTGTCATAGCCCACTCCCCTTCCCCATGATCCTTTGCAGCTAGTGGTGGCCACATGACACTGTTCTGGCTGATATGACTTAGAGGAAGTCTGCTTGGCAGCCATGGAGAATAGCAAGAAGGGAGAACAACTTCCGGAAAAGATTTTCCTTCATGATTAAAGGAAAAGATTTTACTCCAGCTCACTCCTGCAGGGATGAAGATTAAGCTCCATGTTGGTTTGATGGATAAAACCAGCCAAACAGCCAAAATCATTTTGAAAGGAAATCATGGATTTTAGACAAAGCAAAGCTAGATTTACTTGTAGACATATTCTGTTATCACTTTTAATTAAGAGATTAATTCATTAATTTTGGAACTGCATAAATCTTCCTGTTCTTTACCCTTTGGTGCAAAAGCATGTGGAACTGACAGATTTGCCTTGTTCCAAGAGCCCTTTCCTCTTTCAGTGTGGCCGTTCTCTCTACCAGTCTGAAGACAGAGGTCAAAAACTGGTGACCTCCCAGCGAGAGTTATGAGGATTTGTTTGGTCTTTGTGGTATTTTGAGTTTTTGAATTAATTGACAACATTTGGAAATTGAAGAGTATACATACAAATATTGATTTCTTTTTAAAAATAGATGAGATTTGTGCATGGGAACAATTGTCTTGAACTAAGTGGCGGCCACCCCCTTAGAGGAACAGCCGCTGTCGGCCAGAGACCCCAACCAGCCAATGTGTTACCTGCCCAGATCTGGCTGGCGTTGTGTTTGCAACCACTCATATGAGTGTGTATAGATAGAGTGACACCACGCCCAGGATAGCCCTGGTATGTGTCTGGCGTATCAGAACAATTACTACCAGAGCACTGACCGCCCCATTCCACTCTCCAAAGTGTGCCAGTTTGGACGATGAGTTATATAATTACATGACCCACAAAGGTGTTTAGAGCATTGTGCCAGAGCTGTGTGGGTTTAGACAACCATCTGTTTGAGGGTTCACATTCACATTTAGGTTCCCTTGATAATAAAGGGTCAAAGTTAGGGATCTTTCAATTCTTTGAGGTTCTGTGATTCACTCATAAAGGGATCATTTTCATGAAGTTTCCCTGAACTATTCTAGTTGTGCTGTCACTAACTTTGAAAAATATCCTTTAGAATAAAATCACGGTAATTCTCTTGTTTCTAGTCTCCAGAAACCACAGTTTTCTAAGCTTGTCCAAGTGGAGAAATCTTTTTAATTTTTTGGCAACCTAAATACCAGGAAAAGTAATAATATATCCAGCAATGCCATCTTTTCTTTAGTCTACTTTTCACCTTCCAGGGCTGGGTCTGGCAGCAGTCGTCGTGGGATGTGTGTTTCAGCATCTATTATCCTGTAAATCCCACAGTTACAAGGGAATGAAAGATGGATCTTGTCTGCATTATGCAGACCTAGAGGGGCGAGAACAGGGACCTGCTCTGTGAGCAGACATAAAATCAGATGTAGTAAGAATATTTCATAGCCCCTTCAAAATGTTGACAATTTTATTAACTACTCACTTTCATATTTCAGTAATATGATGAATAATTTGGGGCTTGAAAAATGCTTTATATAGATGCTTTATATACATCTGTCACTGCTACGGTAATATTTTCAGGTCCACCAGAGCCTATTCAAGTCTCAAGCATGTTGGATTATTTGCAAAAATGATTATTTGTGATGATACTTAATGTTGCAATTTACTGAGACTTCCTGCCGTCCCATCCATCTCTGACTTGACAGGTAAAGTAGGGAAGATTTTGCAAGACAGTAAAACGTTGGGCAATTTATGGTTTTAAACTTGTGTGCAAAACTGTTTCCGTGACTCACCCAGTAGCTTTTTCTGATGCCGTGTGCTGTTTCCACTGTAGTCATGGCAGCAAACAGGTAGAGTATTGCAGAGAGATGAACACAAAGCAAGGAGGGAGGAGT